CTGAGCTACAGAGGACAGTTGTCGAGCTCTAACCAACTGAGCTACAGAGAGACAGTTGTCGAGCTCTAACCAACTGAGCTACAGAGAGACAGTTGTCGAGCTCTAACCACAAGTTCTTGCATGTATATATTATACTAGGTACTGCCATATTACTGAAGGTAGGGGTAAATATTGGGAAAATATATACAACTGGCCTTTGTAGCTCAGTTGGTTAGAGCGCTGCACCGGAATCGCAGGTTGGATTCCTGCCAGAGCACCTAAAGTTGCATTTTTCGCAACTGTTCCTGCATGGTTAGATCTAATAAATATATGATTAGTTCAAGCTACAACACCCATCAACTCATTTATGCACATGCACTGAAACTACAGCACTGATCTGAGAATTTGGACTGGAATAGGGCAACCTTTTGAATTCAGGGAATTAATTTTGAAACCAGAATATTTATAATGAGGAGAAACTTTTGAGAAAATGTAGCCGCTATTATGCTAGCCTGCGAGCAGGTGGGCCCACCTGAATAAACGCCTGTTCGCTGGCTACTATTATGCATATAGCATTTTCATTTAATTTTATAACTTTTACTCTGACAAGCAACAGTGTGGAACAATGCAATGGACAACAATGCATTACCTTTTCAAAATGATTTATTTCTTAGGTAGTACAATGTTAAGTAAAAGCAATATAACAAACTATTAAACCGGTAAAAAATTAATGAAATCATCAAAGTCGTCTAGTCGGCTACCTTAAAAGTAAAAAGCTGCCATAGTATCAGTTTTAGTTCCTGTTTTCCTGGGAACTAACTTTGGCCTTACGTAAACTGGCTTTCATTCAAATTAACGACAGTTTTTCTGAAGAGGGTTGTAAAGTTGATTCCACAAACCGCTATTTTTCCTGTTTGTTCCGTCGTCGATGTGCACCGGATCCGATGTGCTGAAATGTCCTCCCCATCTAAGCGAACTGTCTGATCTGATCTTTTCAATAAAGCACGTGATGCCAGGTGATTTGTTAGAGCCTCGAAGACATCTACTGTTGCAAAATTTTCCAGTTGTTCGGTCAATGAGGTTCATGTCAATAGCGTGACCAATTAGATGATTGCCTCGTGTGGCTGGTGTGACGATTGCGCCACTGACGCGTGTCGTAGATCTGTAGGAACTGGCGACGTGAACCTTGCAAAAGAATTAAAGATTTTAATGACACATTATAGTATTTGCGCTGTTTTCTGTTGTTTTCGTTTGTATTGTGTTTGTATTGTGTTTTGTTTTATTCTGCTGCGTCGTGTTGTATTCTGTTGTCTCGCTATACGTCACAAATTAGGTGAATTGCAAATTAGTTTTCCTTTGTTTTTCGTACCAAAAATTTACCTAAAGACATCATGTCCGGAATATTTAACAGTGAAAAGTTTATCAAGATGAGGTTTTTTACTATAAAGGTACATTATATTTCTTCTTAGAATATGACCCAAATATTACAAATACAAAAAAATATATTTGGGATTAGTCGCACTTTAGGTTAGAATCCTTTTTAAAATTTCTCTTTGAAGGGTTGTTTAGAAAATTTAAAGACGTCTGTTGGCGTGAATCGTTTACATAATTCTTTTGCTTATGGGAATTCTTACCTTGACTTTACATATAATGGATCAAATGTGTTAGACATCAAAGGAATATTTAGCTACCAATGACTCCACAGATTTGTCTTTCATTACAATAACATACATAAACAAGTCATGATTTTTAATACTTATGTTTAATATTGAGTAAAATAACCTTGGCAGAAATAACCTATGAGAATATTTTGTATAAATCATAATTGTATAACATTTAACAATTATCTGCCGCCGAAGGCGAGGTGATTATCGGGGGAATATTCGCCGAGACGAATTTTAGTATTTTTACACAAGTTTTTTGGGACTGAATTTATTTTAATCTCGCTTATTTCTTTATCAGTAACTTTCGCAAAACGGCTAGCTGCCATTTTGTAAATTTTGGTTTTATTATATATTCACCTGTAGGTGAATTTAACAGCTTAATACGTCAAATTTGACCAATCAACTTGTAGGATTTGTTATGTTCACTTGTGCAAAAATACTAAAATGTGTTAACGACGAACATAGAAGCAACTAATTGTTCTCACTACCACATCGATCTAGTATATGTCAATTTTGAAAATTTGCATTGTTCACAAAGTGACAGTTTGATTCATGGGGAAGTTAGACTTCTGTGATTATGTCTGTTTGAGAAGCTTTGTCGATGCGCCTTGTTGATCGGGAATCGTCGCCAGAGTCGTCGCTAGAATCTTCGTCGTGATCAGGATCTTCGCTGCATGTAATCGCAACCAGCAGGTTGGATAACTTTAATAAACTTGTCTCGACTCATCCAGTCTGTATTGAAGGTGTTCAGAGATTTCCAGTTGCAGCAATTTTCACACTTTAATACAGCCTGTAATGCTAACAATTGTAATTCTGGAATCTTCGTGATCGTGGTCAGGATCTTCATCATCGTGGTCAGGATCATCATCATCGTGGTCAGAATCTTCATCATCGTGGTCAGAATCTTCATCATCGTGGTCAGAATCTTCATCATCGTGGTCAGGATCTTCATCATCGTGGTCAGGATCTTCGCTGTAATCGTAACCAGCAGGTCGGATAACTTTATTAAACTTATCTTGCTCCAACGTATTTAATTCATTCACTCTGTGTTGAAGGTGTTCAGGGATTTTCAGTTTCAGCAATTTTTCACACTCTAATACGGCCTTTAATGCTGACAATTCTAAGTCTGGATTGCCTTCAAGTCTAACCTCCGTTAGATTATCAAAATGTTCAAATGTTTTGATAGATTTTAGTTTATTATTTCTTAAGTCCAGCATAATCAGATTTTTCAGCATGAATTCACTCGTGTCAGTTGGAATTAATTTGATGGAATTACCTTCGAGGCAAAGATATTTTAACCTCTGCAACTTCAAAATATTATCTGGAATACACGTAAGACCGCATTCAATAATGTCTAGCTGCCGTAGTAAAGTTAGCTTAGTAAAATATTTAAAGTCATCATTGTCAAGTGGACCACAATTTCTTAGTTGAAGATATTCCATTTCATTGGCCATGTGAAGTATGGTCAGTGGAATTCCTGGAAGGTCATTAAATTCCACCATCCTGTTTCCTTCCTCCAGTGCCTTCCTTAATTTTGAAACAGGCCACTCGTTAGCCAGAACATATGCTTGTATTTCTCCGAAGAATGCTGCAAAACGGACTACATATATTTTATTAGAATGGTGCAATAGGTGAAGCAGGAATCCCAAGTCGTCTTCTTCCGTACAAATGGCGGGTATATTAAGGTCTTCAGTGTGAACCTCATATTTGCATTTTTTCATAACTATTATAACTGTCCACACAGTCATGGAACTAAAAATAAAAAAGCTAAGCACTAACACTGGAATATATATATATTTCAATCCACCAGCGAATGTAGGTGCAAGGCTATGTGAACAAATAAAATATTCATGAGGAACAGGGATATGTTCAGTGATATTGCAGGTCATTTTATCGGGCAAATCATTCATGTAATTAATATCAATTACGAAGAATACGAAGGAAAAAAGAGTTTGCAATAAACATTGAATCAAATAAACATGCCATATTTTCAAGAATCTGTGGGATGATTTGATACTCTTCTTGAGTTGGTTCACTTTTTCGTGCAACGTCTTCACCGCATTTACAGTTGGAGTGTCATCCTTAAAATTGAGTTCCTTAGTTTTGTTAATTATGTCCGGGTCACTTTCCATCTGATGTTCAACAAGAGAGATGTCGGAGACACGGCGTGTGGTGGTAGACCTCTGCAAAATTTGTGCTTGCTGGAAATTAGAGGTTGGTGAATTGTAGCATTCCATCACAAGTGTGCTAAAACGTTCAAGAAATGATGCTATGGCTGGAATTTTTAGCCACACATTACCGATTACAAGGAGTGCAAATGATTCAGCAAACAGCACAATCCAAAAGTAGGCAAGAAAGTTTGGAATAGCACATTTACTGCATTCAGAATTGACAAACCCGGCATACTGGATAATCGTTTTAATGTCCGTTATGACATAAGTTGTTTCTGGTTTTCTGCGAACTGTAAAATGATTCACACACATTGCGATAGTTTATCTGTGATATTAACGAGGAACTGTTAGTATTTCGTCTTGATATAGCTGGGCATTCAACAGCAGGCAAGCATTCAAAAGTACCAGATGTAAATTGCATACCTGCAAACACTAAGGATACTAATACCAAGAATTTCACAAGATATTCTGCTATGACCGCCCACACTGGCTTCAGAATCTTGATTTTGTCACCTTCAAAACTTAAGATATCCGTCAATGCAAACATTTTCAACGTTAGTATAGGCAGTGGAGAAATGTATAGAGAATAGAGTATAGCTTTTTGAAGTTTTATGCGGCCTGTTCCACTATTACAAATGCTGACCATACGATGTACAAGGTTAAACCATAAAATGCTTCGTCATTGACATTGTAAAATTTAAAGCATTTGTTTACAGTTCGCTATTGTTTGGGATAGTTGACAAATGCAACTGATTTGAATAGACGAGATGTTTTCAGCCACTGAACGGGCTTGCTTTCCTCTGTGCACTGAACCAATACGTTCTCACATGCTGTTTTTAAGAAAACCTGTTTTCCTAGTATAATAAGAGTGTTTCGTTTGTAGCCTAGCTGCTAAGAACTCTACGACAAAGTGCCTTTGATAGATATGTCAAGAAGTACATATTTTTCTGTTTAGACTGAGTGGTTGTCAGAGATGACAAAGTGCCTTTGATAGATATGTCAAGAGGTACATATTTTTCTGTTTAGACTGAGTGGCTGTCAGAGATTCTATCACAAAGAAAATTTTGTAGTTACGGCCGCGGCAAACAGTGGACCAGTGCCAGTCCCCCCCATGTGGAGCTAAAATGATGCACGTCATGCAGCACTGTGTTGAAATATTTGGTTCAGTTGTTTAGTTTTCCAAATTGAAAATCTTTGCTTTATTGAAATATTTGTGAAAGAAACAGTATAAAACAGGCCACTTGAAAATTGTTGGTTCAGCATTGTTAGGTTGTTTGAGCAGGCCTTTTGTGCAAATCACATATTTCCTAACTTCTATATAAATCAAGACAACCTCAATTTAAATACCACCCCAATCGTAAACCTGACTTTAGACTCTTACGCCCTGGTTAATCGTGGATGAGAGTTTGATGACCGCCGACTCTCATGCACTCTCATCGACTTTTAACTGGTTCAATAGACCTAATGCATAATGATGTCACAAGGCTTGATGCCCGCGAGTAATGCTGGTCTTAGTAGCCATCGCCCGGGAAAATTAAACAATTCAAAATGGCCACTATCGAAATTTTCCCGGGCGATGCGGACTACTATAAAGACCAGCATTCCTCGTGGGCATCAAGCCGTGTGACATCATTATGCATAAGGTCTATTATTCAAATTTAGATGAATTTACAAAACATTTTTTATTTTGCAACCGAGTCAACTCTCGTGCAACTTGCAAATTAATAAACTACGATTTTCCAAGTTTGTGTTTAGATAAAGAATGTAAAAGAGAAATAAACTAGACAACAGGCAAACAAGAAACATTAAACATTGTTAACAACAGATTCAAAAGAAAATACTGAATGCTGCTGTTATATAAAACACGCTTATAGCGTATTGTCACAGATCATAAACCTTACAGATGGCCGACTTCTCTTGGTTTTGCCTATGATTTTGGCGTAACTGTTGCAATACTATTGCCATGTTCCTTGTCCGTGCGTTTACGACAGGCATTCACCCTCCTGAGAATACTCAAAATGGTGGATGTTCAGGGGGGTGAATGCCTCTCGTACGCACACTAGCTAGGAATATGGGGAGTGCATTTTGATGACGAATCGTGGCATAGTTGAGTCGGCCTTCTGTAAGGTCTCTATTCTGTGGTATTACGTCCAGAAGCAAACACATCAATTATAAATTGCCAATGAAAATTTTCGCATCCACACTCAAGAGTTTTCAGTTCACCTGAGCATTTATGGATACATTGATATTTCGTTGTGATTTCCTGGTTGAGTATTCGACATCTGCTGGTATGATGGAAGGACTTCCTGTGCCACTAGGCCGTCAAGCGGTTGCATTTTCTGAAAATATTACAAACATAAAGTAGCTACTGTTTAACATTAGCTTGGAAATAGGGAGGTCATAAAACCATTTATTATTAGCATGACAAAATTACTGGATGCTGATTGGTTGAGAGGAGTACAATTATTTCATTAATTGTACTGCAGTACAATTAATGATTTTCCCAAAGCAAACAAAATGGTGGAAAGGTATTTTAAACTCAAGCGTGAAATGAAATTGCCCTAGAGGAACTAGATGAAAATACGAACAAAACTGGCACCAAATTTTGCTTTAACAGAAGAACTATATAAAAATACGAACAAAAGCACCAAATTCAGTGATTTAACACAAGAACTAAATGAAAATACGGACAAAAGCACCAAAGTTTGGTTGAAAATCTGGCAGAACTGGGCTTTGGCGAAGAATATAATACGTTAACGAAGTATCCAATTTTGTCATGCTAATAATAAACAAGTATGTTGTGGATGTTGCTCGTACAATTAGGGATTAATAGTACTCGTGATTTTGGCAATTCGCCAAATGGGTAATTCGGAAAGAAAGCTTCAGGTTGATAGGGATACAGCTACCTGAAAAATACAAGGAGAACTTCGACGTTTCGAGCGAAGGCCCTTCGTCGGCAAGTTAGTAATTTTGGTATTTTTCAGGTAGTTGCATGTATCTCTATCAATCCGAAGAACTATTTATAGCACGCGTAGGAGTGTTTTATCACATATAAAACACGATGCGTAGCGGAGTGTTTTATATGTGATAAAACACGACTACGAGTGCTTTTAAATTAAATAGCTTCAAAAACGACTCATCTTATACGAGTTCATTGGCGAAGTAATTTTTAAAGAGAAAATCAAAGCTAAAGTTTATGTAAATTAACATGATTTTTTATCACATTTAAAACCACGACACGCTTATGATTTTTCTTTGTGTTTTGCTCCTGAATTATTAATGAGTTTTTTGAAGCTTTCTTAATCAATTGGCACTACTTACACTGGCACTAGACTGTTCAAGATTATATCATTGGGGCAAGAGTGCAACAAACAGTATACAGTTAATATATATTAGTCTTACCGGTGCAACAAACAGAGTCCAGTCCGCAAACAGTAGCAGCATCACGAAGGAACACAACGCCAACACAAGATCAGTTGCGTACAACAAGATATAATACCAGATATTCACTTCTTTGAGCTCGTCACAATCTTTCTTGCGATAAGAGAAGACCGTTTCATCGTCGCAGTATGAATCTTTCTTGAAATAGCCATGTAATATTGCAGCGTTTGTTGATTCTTCTATGATCACGCCCAGGGCTAGGACGATAGTCACCAGGACGCAGCATAGGCTGATGTATTTCTGGAAAATGATTGTAGACGTGAAACAACTTATATATCGAGATATTTTGGCCATCCCTCTCAATAGAATTCAGTAACATACGGAGGATTTTTGTAGATGGAAATTTTGAGGAAGATTATATTCAAGTTTAGACCTATAAGCAGGAGCAGTTGCGAAAAATGCAGCACAAGGCCCTCTGGCGGGAATCGAACCTACGACCCTGCGATTCCGGGACAGTGCTCTAACCAACTGAGTCCAGTTGTCGAGCTCTGACCACAAGTTCGTGCATACATACCAGTATAAATTGTGGGTACATAACACTATTTTCGTAGAAAGTTAGAAACCACTGTGTAATTGAGTGGGTGAAGTGATGAAACTAAACTAACTTTGATATTTGTGGTGTTACTCTGAGTGTATATCCACACTGGGCGAGCTTGAAAAATATGCCCGGCCACGGTGGGATTCGAACCTACGACCTTTGGAATACTAGCCCAATGCTCTTCCAACTGAGCTACGCGGTCAGGACGGTTCGAGAAAGAAAATTCATATTACTAGAATACATTGGTATTGAAGGAACTAGATTTTGTTCCGAAATATCACTTTCTCGAACCGTCCTGACCGCGTAGCTCAGTTGGAAGAGCATTGGGCTAGTATTCCAAAGGTCGTAGGTTCGAATCCCACCGTGGCCGGGCATATTTTTCAAGCTCGCCCAGTGTGGATATACACTCAGAGTAACACCACAAATATCATATTCACCTGAGTACACTACACCAACACAGAAAAAATTTAAACTAACTTTATTTATACTGGAGATAGTCTATCAATTCTAAAATGTTCTTCCTAGAGGTCCAGTAAGGCTATTTTTCATCTGCGCCCCGCCCCCACTCATCCATCAGGGATTAGCTACGGCCCTGGCTTCTCACAAGCGATTGACATGAAATCACAGAGTTAGCCGGATCGCAGAGCACGTTAAGTATATAAATTAAGACGTTAGTTATTAAGAAGTTAGGTTAGGCTCTGGAGTTTGTTGTGAAAAAATTATAGCGCTTACCAAAGACTGGTGTCTCTTCAAGAAAAAGGTCAGGATTAAAACACCTCCAGTGAGAATGGTCTAAATTTAAAAAAAAAACTGTCTGAACATATGAGCGTGGTCAATCAAACACCACGGTCAAACGTCCGCGAAATAGACCCATTGCAGATGACGTCACAGCGCCGGTGACGATGCATCTGGAGGACAAATTAGCAATCTATGCATAATACAACTTTTGTAAACAATGCTACTTTTGTAAAACTTTATAATAATTTTGTATTAAAATGGTTAATTTTTGCGCTGTATGTGGTTGTTGTACCCGAACAGATATTGTTAGGGACATCTGGAGAACACTCTAAGGATGACGTCAGTGCAATGGGTCTATAGTGTTGTCTAGAAGCTCTATAGCAAAACGGTGTAAAAATTTACGAGACTAACTTACGAGAAAATCGCCTACGTTGTCGTAGATGAGTTGTGCGCATGTGCTTGATTTACAGAGTGCACTGACTCTTATCAACACTCATCAAAATTTGAACCAGTTCAAAATTGGTTCATATTGAGAATGCACGAGAGTCGATGAGAGTTGGTGAACAAACGCTAGCGAGAGTTGCAACTGTTCATGCAGTTTTAAATCAGTTCAGTTTTATTTGCACTTATTTCTTTCTTACAAGATTATGTATTACTAGTATACTATATATATTTACATTTATTCCATAATATGTATTCACAGATGAAGAGTGCGTAGTGGTCAAAGGAGCAGAAGCTTTCGAGTTGACTACTGTACTACCATTATGAAATTATATTTGAGTATTTAAAACAAAAAAAAAGTTGATCTCTATACTATATATAGTATTAGTATTAGGGTTTCTAAGTGTATAGTATAATTTACAAAACTTTTTTTATATTTATGATTACTAGCTATAATATCATTTTTTAATTAACAAATATAAAACATTTTCCGTGTTGATATACAGTTATATCAACACGAGTGGAAATTGGGAAAACGAGAAATTGTGTGAAAACACGACGCCCGAAGGGCGGAGTGTTTTCACACCATTTCGAGTGTTTTATATTGGTTTTATAATATAGCACAAAGAAATATAAAGAAAGAAATTTTCCTACATTTCCGTGTTGACATTGAGTTATTCTAACTCCTGGTGTACTCCTTCATGGTCCTCGTCTTACTCATGTTCATTGGTTAATGGGATATCATCCACAATATCTAGAGTGTTTCACACCAAATGTTTTATATTGGTTTTATAATATAGCACAAAGAAACATAAAGAAAGAAATTTTCCTACATTTCCGTGTTGACATTGAGTTATAGCAACACGGCTCTTAGCCAATCAGCGTTCAGAATTTACAAATGCTATATTATAATAGCATATCATCAACTCTCATCGTCGTTTACAAACGTAAAAGTATCACAACTTGTCGACAAGATGTGTTCACGACAGGCTCAGTGTAGCAAGCTTGTCAACAAGTTGTAACAATGCTGTTATTCTATCAAGTTGCTACAAGCTAATTGTCATTCACAACGTGTTGAGAAATTGTTGAAATGCAAGACGATAGCAAGTTGTTGGAACAATCGCAACAAGTCACATGAGTTAATGCAAGAACCTTGTAGCAAGTTGTTGACAACTTGTCAACAAGCTGGGAACAAGCAATGCGAACACATTCTCTTAAAGGGGCACTGCCATCAAAATTTTTATTGTCTTAAACGAAAATGCTCTTAAAACTGTATGGTAACTTGTTTTGGATATTTTTGTCCCTATGCTTAAGCCCGCTTCTCGAGGCGGTTAGCTCAGCAAGTAGCTCTCGTGTGCGGATAGTTTTCGTGAGGATTTGACCTCTCGAGGCCTTGAGGAAAATATCTATCGTGTTTGATATTTTTCGCCTCGCGAGGAAAAAATCTCAGCGTCTGCAGTGCGTATGTTGTGAGCTAAGTGCTGAGCTGTTTGAATCAATTAGCCAATGACAAACCATGGTTTCTTCTTGTGACTTGGAACAAAATGGAGGAAAATGCAAATGTTTTGTCAATTATGTTGTTGTTGAGTAGTTTTCCCAACGTGTGCGGTGAAAATACATAGCTGAGCTAGCTGCCTCGCGAGGCGGTTAGCTCAGCAAGTTGCTCTCGTGTGCGGCGGGCTTAATAGTTCTTGAGTTATTTCGTTTTGTTTGTAATCATGTGACGTCATTTACTCAATTACATAGTAATGAGATATCAGTAATTGTTGTGTATCTTTGCTATTTTTTATCAAAATCTTTTGAAAGATGCGGCGCGTTTGTTAATTTAACCTACATCATTAAGCATACTGTTTTTTTGAACAAATCCATCAAAAATAGCAAAGATACACAACAATTACAGATATCTCATTATATATGTAATTGAGTAAATGACGTTACATGGTTACAAACAAAATCAAATATCTCAAGAACTAAGCGTGGGAACAAAAATCTTCAAAACGAGTTACTATACAGTTTAAGAAAATAAATGACAGTCAGCCCCTTTAACAAGTTGTCGGAACAGCATATAGCTACAAGTCTACTGCATGCTTGTTACAACTTGTGCGTTTTTACGTGTGCAACTCATAGCGAACACCTACCAGTATTCCAGCCCAATATTGACAAGTGTTATCCCCAAATCTACGAAACGAATGCAAATGTCTAATTATGACATTTATCTTTGTGGCTGATGACAAGATAAAAATACCAAAAAAAACCACCAAGCAACCCGCCAGACCGATTAAAAAATGTAGCTTTGTTCGAAGGTAGTTAGCCATACTCGATTTCCTCTTCTATGACTCGGTAACGTTTTCTCAATGTGGTAAATGCTCACTCGATACGATATGCAAGATTAAACTACAAAATGTTTCATCGCTGTAAATGTTTAAGCATTTGCGACTGATTTGCATACATCAAGTGCATACATCAAGTGTTTTTTTTTCTTTTACCTGTAAAAATGCATAATACATCAAGTGTTTTTAACCAATCAACGTTGGTGCTTGTTGTTTCGTTATTACTTCTGCGCACTGCACCAATGATCTGTAGTCATTAATTTCCGCATTACTGTTGTGTACCGAATATTCCAGCATGGGTCCGATATCGTTCACTTTCATTAAGCATGTCTTAGATCTGAAATATTTAAGTTGACGGAAACTAACACTTTCAAGCGCGCTGAGTATAAAAATCCGAAAGGTTCCCACCAGGGCATTTTTTAAGAAAGTACAACTACTGGGGCTTTAGTCTCAAATATGATAATAAGGGTGTTTTATGCATGGGTACATAAATCAATACCACTTTGTGATAAAATCACTCTGTGCTCAGGGGCAGCGCCAGCGCCATTTGAATAGGGGGTGGATGGGTGTAAGTGAAATATTGCCTACTAATTTCAAACGCTAATTAGTATTTCTTTTCATCTAACTGGGCTTAGATATTTTGCCGCATACCTGACAATTAATTGGGGGTGTGGAATAGACCTTTCCTCTTTTCAGTGAAATTTTGATCTAGACAAGTCTGGACAAAAATTCCATCACAGCTTGAAAGAGCATCACAAAATTAGTAATATTCATGCAAAGTTTCATTGCGAAATGCTGTAAAATGCGGATAATATAGCCTTGCGAAATTTGCAATTTTCAGTCATTTTAGATTACAAACGGGAAATGGTTACCACTTTTCCAAAATTTTGATCTTAACTAGCCTAAACAAACATTTCATCACAGTCCCTTGAAAGAGCATCACAAAATTAGTAATATTCCAAAGTTTCGTTGCGAAATGTTGTAAAATGCGGATAATATAGCCTTGCGAAGTTTGTCGTTTTTCAGTCATTTTGCATTACAAACGGGAAATTGATACTCAGATGATCAAACTGATGTAAGGATGACATATAATGATATACATCATAAAAAGTGAAGAGACTATGTTGATCTTTTTCTCGAAGCCAATTAGATACGCGTGTTTAATTGACTTATTGAGCTTCACCGAACCACTAACAGACTAACCCTATTGTTTTATTTTCTAGGGTTTGTTCATATGTATATATTTGCCATGGCCTGATTATAATCCATCTGCCTTACAGCCGGCCTCTCACATGCAGTACAAGGTAATTCGTATAGTTTAGGAGAAGTGTACACTATTCTTGCCTCATCCGCAGGCCTCTCTATGGGTTTTAGCCTGCGAATGGGTATATACACTCAAACAGTGAAATTGCATGAATATAACTGGAACGCTATACCTTCAGATAAACTGCCTATCTTTTTCTTGAAGCCAAATCTGACCCCCAGACACTGGGGGTAAAGACCCGCGTGTTTATGAAAAAGACTTCTTAGACTAAATTTTTTTTAAGTTTAAAAAAGTCTAAGAAAAAAAAGAATAAAAGTAAGGTCTACCAAGAGGTTTTACCTAAATAAATACATTAATAGAAAGCTTTAAGCGCCGCTAAAAAGCTTTTTTATGAACTTTTGAGACAATATAATTTTATCATTTAATTTTATCACTTTTACTATGACAAGCAACAGTGTGGAATAAAGACATGGTGGACAACAATGCATTACGTTTTTAAAATGATTTATTTCTTAGGTAGTACAATGTTAAGTATAAAAGCAATCACAACAAACTACTAAACCGATAAAAAATTAATGAAATCATCAAACTATATACCTTCAATTAAAAAGCTGCCATACTATCAGTTTTAGTCCCTGTCCTCTTGAGGACTAAATTTGGCCTTATGTAAACTGGCTTTCATTCAAATTAACGACAGTTTTTCTGAAGAGATTTGTAAAGTTGATTCCACAAACCGCTATTTTTCCTGTTTGTTCCGTCGTCGATGTGCACCGGATCTGATCTGCCGAAATCTCCTCCCCATCTAAGTGAACTGTTTGATCTGATCTTTCGAATAAAACACGTGACGCCAGATGGCTTGTTAGAGCCTCGAAGACATCTACTGTTGCAAAATTTTCCACTTGTTCGGTCAATGAGGTTCATGTCAATAGCGTGACCAATTAGATGATTGCTTTTTTTGGCTGGTGTGACGATTGCGCCACTGACGCGTGTCGTAGATCTGTAGGAACTGGTGACGTAAACCTTGCAAAAGAATTGGAGATTTTAATGACACTACATGCAGTACTGTACAGTTTTGCGTTGCTTTGCGCTGTTTTCTGTTATTTTTGTTTGTATTGTGTTTTGTTTTATTCTGCTGTGCTGTGTTGTGTCGTGTCGTGTTGTATTCTGTCGTCTCGTTTTGCGTCACAAATTAGGTGAATTGCAAATTAGTTTTCCTTTGT